TAAGAATTCTAAAAAGAAAAAAGAAAGATCCCCAAATTGACATATGGGGACAGCCCTTTACTTATTAACAAGAGAACTCTTCAGTGCTGTGTCCATGTGGGAAGTCACAAAGTTCACTGGGGCATAAAGAATATCATTTCGATTTTTACAAACACGGCATCACCCTCTGATGTCTTGGGACAATGCGTGGAAAATAGCATGTGAAGTTGTCCATTTTCTTGATCAGTTTCACTGTATTTTTAATTGACTTCCTCGTCATCAGACATTTTTTTCTTTCTAAAGTGGCCGTCTGATTTTCTTCAGCTGTCATTTCCCCCAGTAATCAGTCTCATTGTCTATAAGACAAAAAAAAAAATTTCTGATTCAAATGTTTTATTTCAGTTTCGAAGGGTGGAACATTTTTAAAATGGCATCATCTGACCCTTTGAAGCCTTAATCCTCTCTGGAATTCTCGATTTGTCATACGTTGTGGTTGATGGCCCAGTCTGAGAGTGAGCACTTTCCAGTGAGTCTCAGAGGCTCCTAGTTGCATCGAATGGGTGGCTTGTTTTTTGGTACCAATAAGACTTTACCGAAAGTACCATTTTTTCAAAGCCTGCTGGTTAAAGGAAATTCTGACAGACTTTTGATACAAGTAAGAAGCATGGCTTATACTTCTAGTTGAAAACTAAAAAGTTATTTTCAAAGAAGGAAATCTGCATAGCAAAGGGGTAGTCGAATAGGAGCAGAAAAAAAATAGTACCTCCTTTTTCCTTGGCTTCTCTCTGATGCCGTGGAGTCGGGGCGATTGGATCCGGATGCGGAAGTAAAGGTTAACTGACGGATGCTCCGGCATCAGGAATATGTGGGAGGGAGAACATTTTCAGGCATTTATTGTTTAATTCAATATTAACTCAAGTTTTACTGATAGTGAAAAAATGCACTTAGGCCAACAAACCAATTTCTATTTCCCCAAATTCCAAAGCAAAAGAGAGAATTTTAAGTATTTTAAAACTTAAATTTTAATGTCGTGAATCTACCTCCTTTCGTTTTATTTTATTTATTTTTTAAATTTTATTTTCTTAGTTTCAGGTATTCAGTACATTGCTTAGACATTTATATAGTTTATAAAACGACCCCCCTAATTGCTCCTTCTCTCCTCTGGCTCTCCGCCTAGCCATTAATGCTGACTGCATTCCCTGTGCCGTGCTCCCCATCCCCGTGACCTTTTAAATGAATAGAGCATATTTAAAAGTATATCACTCACGGCCTCCTGGGCTATTAGCCCATGTGTCCTCCCTCCTGTCCATTTTTCTTCTTCGCTTCCTCCCTGGCCCCCACCCTCCCATCATTCCCTTCCATAAACTCTCATCGAGGTCCCATGGGCGTCCTATAGGTCCTTGGGAGGCAAAGAATAAAAGGCGTAACCCCCGCCATCAAGGAGCCTAAAGGTGACAGGTTGGCAGATGTTTTAAATACTGTGTGACAGTCGATAGAATGGAAGTCTATACAAAATGCAGGGAGAATACAGTGGCATTTGAGTGAGCCAGGAATTTAAAGGAGGGGTCGATATTTTCAGGGTGAACAAGTTGGGGCTGGGGAGACATTTCAGTAAAGGGAGTAACATGTAACAAAGGAAGTCTGCTTGGGTAGACTTTCTTATGAGAGGAAAGAAATGCCTATATCATAGCCCTCAAATAAGCTGCTATGCATCACCGATGCTTCCTAAGCTTCAAAGATGAATTTTATGCCTTATTTATTTCCATACCCCAAGGACCTTTCTGAAATTGCCATTTGATATGGTTTCTGAATTACAGTGGACCGTGCTTTCCTCATCCAATCCCTGAACCCACTAGAACTAAGTGTGTTGAATTCTAGTGGACCGTAAAGGGTTCTATTATAGCCTTTGATGACAAAATCTGATTTTAAAATAGTATTTAAGAACAAAATCTGATTTTTAAGTTTAAAAGGATCCCCTAGTTGCATTTTTAGCAATAGACATTGTGACGATCTCGAAAATCAGTAACACATTCTGAGTTGCAAACTGGAAGGTCTGAAGTCTTTACAGTTTAGTGAACAGTTTTATAATAAATATATTTAGTTTAGTGAACAGTTTTATAATAAATATATTATGATAGGATGCGACATATAGTTTTAAAAAATTATGTCCCGCAAGGAAGCCACTTCCTCCCACTGGTTTCAGAGCACACAAAGCACCTTGCTAATCTATGAACCTGTTTTCTTTTATGAGGCGCGCTAAATATTTTTCTCTTTTCTTTTTTGCCCCCTCTACGCCTCTAGCATACATTCCTACTCCAAT